CTTTACAGGATTTAATCTGTGTAGGACCATAGAGTTTTTGATTCTCTGATCCGTATAAAGACAGCACAGTATCAGAAAACATCTTTATTTCTTCAGCAAAGCTAGACTCCTCTTTGCTAGACAGTTGTAAGGTTTTTGTCTGTCCTTGGTTCCAACAGCATCCTGGTCCCAGACCTGAGCGCCCAGGGCTTCACCACCTCTATCTCCTCCATCCTGTTTTTCCTACAGTCCTTTTGGACCTCACCAATGCAACAGACAAAGTCATTGCTTCTGCAGGTGAGTACAGATGGAGGAGAAACTATGTCGGCTAAGCGAAATATGGAGGGAGAGGTAGCTGTGGGAAACAGTGGGGTGTAGTTAAGCCTTTAAAGGTAGCACCTGAGGTCCACCACACATAGGCCAGCAATGGGAAGTAAGATTCATCTTATTTGGTCCTGTCCAAACCCTACTTTGCAGATAAAAAAACAGTAAGTTTCTTGCACATGTTTAAGCAAGGAAAGGTCTGAGTTCGATTTCATGAATGTTTTACGCCAGAGAAGTTTCCTTGCTTTCCATGGAGCTATTTGCGATTTAAGATAGTGCTTGAAGAATCACTATAAAACTTTTCTCTGTCACCTCAAGGTACACTTCTGCCTTTGTTGGCCATCTTCTACTCCCAGGGGAAGCAGCTGTGCTCTGTGCTCTTTCTTCATTTTTCTTTTTGGACGGGGAAATACAAAATATTTAAATGTGTGTTTTCAGGGAAAAGTGGATCTGGATTTAACATCTGTACAGGACTGTACAGTCCCTGTTGGATTTCCTTGTTCTTTCTAAAGCAGTTCAGCCAACAGCCAGCTTATTGAGCATGGCAGCATTTGGGATAGAAGATCAGTTCATCCAGCACAGAGTCCAGTGGGCCAGGAAGCATAGAAAAGCTGCTACATAGTGATACAGCTATTTGGGTTTGTATCAAAAAACACAGCTCAGTCAAGAGCAAATAGAATATAATTTTTAGAGGAGTTTATTAGAAACTGCAGTTCCTGAGGTCCGTACAGGTTATTTTGCAGTGACTGGAGTGAACCTACTTGCTCGTGCTCTATAGTGATTAAACAGTAGCTGCTAAGAGGTGTGAGAAGGAAAGCTCTCTGAAAGTGAGCTGCATTCATGAAATTTGTGCATCTCTATGTCAAGCTCCAAAACGTCTCCTAGAACCATATCTTTTTATTTCTGATCTAAATTTCAATTTATTTCTATGGAAAATTTTTAACTTAAAATTATTTTCTCTGATTAACTGAGGTACATGCAATTGTAAAGGCAAACTTAATATACCTTCAGTCTAGTGCATGTTTTGACTGAGTAAAGACTGTAAGATTTATTTTGGAAGAAACATAATCATTTACTCCTCACCAGTATTTTCTTGCCCTTTTCTGATGGACTAGTTGGAATTAACGACCTCCAGAAGGATGCATTTCATATCACTGTGACAACAACTGCAACCTCTGAAAAACAGCCAGGATTTCTCTCGGTCAGCAAGCTGGGCCTGAAGTGGGCCATGATGAGCCAAGGTCGAATGGTGTGGCTGAAGGACACCACTACTCCCCAAATCAGCCGTGGAGAAGTGAGAAGATTTCTTGCCCGGCTGAAATTTGTTGACTTTCCTCAACGGGTGAGATTGCACAGGAATCCCTAATGAAATACAGACCTTTGAAAACATCTGATCTCTTTCCTACAGACACAGTTAAGTGCTCTTTGTAATGCAGAGAGGATGTTTGCAGAGGCTTTGCTGAATGCAGAGAGACTTGCGCAAGACTGGCTGTCCCTTTTGAATTTAAACTGCACAGATTGTGAGGTCTAACTGTACTTTGACAGTTGGACAAGGAGTGGTAGCTTAGATAGAACCAGGGATCAGCAACTGAGAGATTCACAGAGGGAACAGAGAGGTGGGACAGAGGTCACTTGTTTTGATATGGGCAGACAGGTGCCCAGATTCAGTTGCTGACCTATGAATTGTCACTTTTCTCTACCAGACTTTATGATAATAGGTTTTGACTTTATGTTTTTTGTTTGTCTTTCCTTCTCCAGCTCTAGCCTGCTGGTTCCTCAGATTTTGGTTGGACGCGTGGCCTGTATGGGGAACACAGGAAGCTGTGGATCTTCAGGAAAACTGTTGTGTAGAGGAAACGGGCTAAAAGCACTTCCCCTTTCTACAGCTCTGTGGGGACTGCTGCTTGAGGCAGGTTTGTCCAAGGCAGACCTGTCCTGTACCAGAGGAACTTTGTTCAGCATCTCCCCATCCATATGCTGTTCTTGCATGCTTCCCTCCAGGTGACACAGAAATGTGAATTTAGATTTTATATACATATATATATAAACCCCCAGGTTTTATATATATATGTATCAATTTATAAAATATATGTATATTTTTTGTATGTTTAATTTATAAATGAGATTTAGGACACTCCTTTTTATGTCCAAACAGTATTCCCAGACAGTCAAACAAGCTCTAGGCCTAGAGTGGCCATTATGACTCAAGGCAAATGGTGTGGCTAAAGGCACCATCTGCTTTAGTCTTTTATATTTTTGGACAGAAGCCTCTGTCTGGCCCCTGCAGGGCTAATCTTGTCTACAACCTTTCCTGCGCTCTCAGCCCTCTTCTCCATTCTGACTCCAAACTCACAAACATGTTAGGTCTCTGGCTAAATTACCCAATCTAGAGAAAGATGGTTCCCACAGCATTTGCTGGCCCTTGCACTTGTATATTTCTTTCCGCAGTTCCAAGTTCACGACAGGTTCATGTGGGTGATGTAGAAGCAAAAGGTTCACATTTATATCCATTGCTAAGCTTTTTATAAATGCAAAATGCCACTGTAACATCACACTGCAGTCCAATGGACAGAGTCCTTTGCAAAAGCATCACAGTCCTTTTGGGATAGGTTCCCAGCAGATCCCCCCTGGCACTGTAAAGATAACACTAGATACAGTCATAGCAAAGCTGATTCTTGCACCACTGCTTCAGGGTTTAGAGCTCAGGCGGAGGCAGAATTGGAAAGCTTTTCTGTGCAGTTAACCCATATTCTGGGCTTAGCATTACCATTCCCTTGCCAGCCCAGCCCTGTGTGCAGTTCCAGGAGGAACAGGCTACCCCCAGGGCACATTTGCTCATAATATGTTTAGTGCTTTGAAGTGTGCCTCTGAGTGTGCCATCAGTCTCCTGTGTTGTAGTTGCAGAGCATTTACATGTATCTTCTTGGACTGGAAATGACCATATAAAAGCAACCACTCTCTTGCCTCAGCAGCTTCCCACAGTACAGGACAGCATAGGAACTCTTTTCCTAGTATGCCTTTCTAGGTCTGACCTTTGACATTAGGCAGAATCAGGACGAGATGAGAATTGCAAAGGACTCCTCTGTTCTCCTGCTGACACATGCCCTTCCAACCTCCCCATGCTTCCCTTTGAGTGGTGAGGTGATGGCAAGACTTCGACTCTCCCTCCAGATAAACACATTTACCATGGGTTTACTCTCCTGGGCTCTCGACACCTCTCCTTGCTATGTCACTCTCTCTTTGCTATCCCTGCTTCTCCATATAAAGTTTTAAAGTTTCCAGGATTTCCCTTCAGGATTAGCTGTAAGCCCTAAGGCTGGTTCTTGGGCCCTCCACTCCTTATGTCAGAGCCTGTGAACAGTTTGTATAGGTTTAATGTTTTTTTTTGTGTAAATAGCTTTGTATATATTAGCCCAACTGTAGCAATGTCTCCAGGCCTGGCTTTTTCTTCCATACAGGGGTTAGTATTTATAATATATAGTCAGTTAATACAGCTGCATAACGGGGACTGAAAGTGTGAGGACCAGTAACAAGGATTAAATAGGAGTCCCCTTCCCTCCTCTTTAGCCACCACCTTGCTGGGAAAGGTGAAGTGACTGTTACCTGAAGTAGTTATTCTCCTGAGGTTCTTCTTGAGAGAACTGGTATTTGAGTGCAGTGATGTTTACTGTGAGGGTGGTGAGGCACTGGCACAGGTTGCCCAGAGAAGCTGTGGCTACTCCTTCCCTGGTAGTGTTCAAGGCCAGGCTGGATGGGGCTTGGAGCAACCTGGTCTAGCAGATGGTGTCCCTGCCCATGGCAGGGGGTTGGAGCTAGATGAGCTGTAAGATCCTTTCCAACCCAAACCACTCCATGATTCTATGATGCTATGTTAGCTCCTCCATAATGTGAATTCACCCTGCCCGCACACACATCCCCACTGTGAATAAAGAGTCTGTCTGTATATTGTTGGGAAAATGTATTTGAACTGTGAACTGCAGTGGAGCAAATAAATACCATGTACAGCATCGTGTGTCATGTGAATCAGTGGGAGATTATGAGCTTGCTTGTTTTGGGGATTGCTTGTGGTATTTTTACAATAGGGAGAAGGGGACAGATGAAATGAAGGAAAAAGCAAAAGCCCAGCCAAGGATCCCTAAAGATTGTGGAGGAGCATAGTAGAAAGAGATGGGCAGGAAAGTACCACAGAATGGGAGATTTTGGGGCAAAAAGCAAGAAAGCGTCATGTGGGAGTAAGAAATAGGAAAGAGGAGGAGAGAGATGTCTGAAAGCAATTCCCCATTCCTATTGCAGCAGCACTTTAAATCTGGGGGCAGGGAGCAGAGGAGGTTGGGCCTAAATATGAAGAACGAACAAGGTGTTCAGAGAGGATTACAGCCAGTCAGTTAAGAGCACCAGTGCTCTTCACTGTTAACACTGAACCAGGGGTTGCTGGAAGGTCAGTGTGACACCATCCAAATAGGCCCATCACTGCAATTTGCTAGCTGGATGGTGCTATCTATTCCCAGGTACAATAGTGCTGGGATTAGGACAATTGCCTCAACTATCTGCAAGTCTGAAGAGACAGCTGGCACCAACAACACGTCCCTCTGGTTTCACCCTTCCCAGATGAGGACACCAGTCAAACTGTGATCGGGGAGGACCTACCTTGCTACCGCCTGACCCTGCTGTTGCCCTGTCCCAGTGCCCACCTTCTCACTCCCTGAACTGTAGAGAAAGAGCTCCCCAGGAACTTGATAACACTGGTGCTAGTGTTTGGCTCAGAGCTTTTGTGCTTCCTAGACCCCACTGCTCTGCCCCTGTGCACTCATCCCTAACAATGGTCCTCCCCGATTGTCTGTCCCAAGACCTCATCCAGATCCAGCTCTGGTTCCCGCTGTAGCACTTTCTGCTGCAGATCAGAGTAGAAGTCGACTCCCTCAGAGACTGAATGGAGGGGCTTGTCCTGGGGCCCATAGTAGCTGCTTATTTGCCGCTGTATGAAGCACTGGTGGTGCTGAGGCTGATCCTTGAAGCACCCGTCATAGCCCTTGATGTGGTTCCTTTTGAACTCCAGCACCGTCTTGGTGTAGGTGTTGAGAGTGGTGACAGCAGAGGCCATGCAGCAGGTGAAGGAAACCCAGGCCATGCTGCAGGACAGACACAAGAATAGCACATGCTGTGAGAAGCCAAGTAGTGTAAGGAACTGAACTGCATGCACTGTGATACACCCTGACCTGCCAGGCAGGAGCTGCTGGGCATGGACATGAACTAGAAAGACTAAGGCTCATAGCATTACAGTTCTAGGGGTTATTCCACCGCAAAATCCTTCTTAAATCAGCAGGGTAAATACTGGTGGCCTTCACAGCAGCCTGTCACAGGGAAGGGAGGGATACAGGGAAAATAAGAAGGGCAGTAGGAAAGTCTGTAACTGGTTAGAGCAGGACAGCACAGCTTGAAAGTAAGTTCTATATTACAGGGCTGCTCAGTGTCTTCCTAGATATCAGACACAAGCATCATCAAATGGCCACACTGACATTTGAGGTCCATGGCTGGCACATAGCACTGGAGTGTTTAATTCTTAAGAATCAATGTGGTCATCATCAGTGCAACATTGCAAACTGAGCCTGCACTTTCAATGGGCAGTCTCAAGGCTCATCCAACTGTTTTTCAAGCCAGTTATGGCACATAAGCTGCAGTTACCTTCTTTAGCCTTTAGGAAAAGCAACAGTGAGCCACCTGCTTTTTGCAGCTGCTTTTCGCAGCTGCTTTTCCTACCTACAGTGTCCACATCTTTAACCATGTGTCTGGACTCAGTGCTGCAAGAATAGGCCCTTTGGACATTGGTTAATGGAAATGTCAAACCAGCATGCAACTTACTGAAATGCAGAAAAACAATGCACGTTTGAGAGCATCATCACAAGTGTGACACTGGCCTCTGCACACAGCGAAGAGGTGAGACCAAACAGGGCAAACCACCATAGAGGTAAACCTGATCCGTAGCCTGGTTGAAGGCACTTTTTCAGGTGTGACCCAATTGTTTTGCCAAACTTTGGTAGCTACTCAATGAGTAACTCAGCAGCTCTTTATTAAAGCAGTGGATGAGGCAAAGAAAGATTAGCAGTAGGAAAATCACAGGACACCTGTCTTTGGAAACAGAACGTCAAGAAAGGAGGAGGTGGGTTTGGCAGGGTGTAGCATGGCTGAAGCCCAAAAGGCTGGGGAGGTGAAAGTGGCTTCAGAGCTCACATACTAGAATGCCCAGCCATAGTCCCAGGAGTGCGGTCTCCAGTCCTCTGGTCCCAGATTAACCGTTGCCTGAAAGACTTGAGTGTACATCATGTGTGCCACCATTCCAAGGAGACCTGAATGCAAAAGACAAGAAAACAAAGTTACAGCCAGAGCGGCATACTTCAGCCTTGTGGGGAAGAGGAGGCTGGTATTCCAAGCCTGCAGTAGCGCACTTACCTGACAGCACAGAGGAGACAGCAGCAAAGGCATTGAGCTTCAACCCACAGACAGGATTGCCAGTATGCAGCATTTCCACCATCAGGAGGATGAAGCTGATGAGCAGCAAGCTGATGTACAGCATCTCTGATCCCAGCGACAGCCACAGGATTCCTATCAGAAACCAGAGACTTCTCATGTCAATACAGGATGGCTTTTTCAAGGGAGAGTACTCCCCCTTCCCAACCCAATCCTGAAAAGATGTCCTCGGGAAAGAAGGAAAAACAACATGCAAAAGCCTACTAGCAAGGCTCAAGGGATGCTAAAGGTTACAAAGAGTCTGCCATAGAAGATAGCTTGGCTAATCTGGCATGGCAAAAGCTGAGAGGAACTAAAATGCTGTCTGGAGGCAAGGGAATAAGAGAGGGGGAAAGCTGGTTTGCATTAGTGCAAAACCCAGTGGTTGTAGGTTGGCCGTGGACACATCTGAGCTGGCCATTAGGATGTGCTTACCCATTAGCGTAACGACCTTCAAGGTATTTTTCTAACCACAACAATGGAAGCAAAAAACTTTTAACTTGGGACTCAACTGGTTAAGTAAAGAACTGTATGATACATCCATGGCTGCAGCTGGGACCTTGCCTCTGGAATTCAGAAAGCCACTTGCAGGCCTGTATTTCTCACTGAAGCCCCCATTAAAATGAAACTGCATTCCTTGGAGTAGATATCCAGCTGGGGCAATTACATTCACCACTCACCCTGCTGCTTGAAGAGAGTGCAGGTACTTTCATGCTGGGGTTATGGTTGGGACTCAAGTGATACCACAGATCACAGCTGAGCTCCCTGTGCATTAGGACTTGGAGGAGAATAAAAAAAGGCACTCTGTAATGGTGAGCTGTGGAAAGGCACAGGATTCACTGAGGAAGAAATATTAACCTGACAAATGAAGCAGCACTGTGAACACTACTGTTAGCAGCTATTAATGCCTGTAGAGGAGACATTCAACTGGAGAAAATGGGTGTGAAGAAAATCCTCATTAATGTAGCACTTACTTGACTCTTCAGTGTTACTAGTGCCATAGAGTCACACAGCTCTTCAGCAGGAACTGATGAGCTGCATTCCCTGCTTACAGGAGCTGACTTGCATGCTGCAGTACCATCAAGGAGACTATTTCATTAGGGCTCAGACTGCTGAAAGTTTCCTGGGGGCTGCAGCACCACATGGGCACAGAGATCTCTGCATCACTTTCTCTGGGAATCCAGGCTGGTGACTACACATGCTCTGTAATCTGGTCCTGTAATGCTGCCTATGTATTGTGGAGCTGCTCTATGCACACCCAGCTCAGCCTAGAATCAGCAGTTACAGCACATACCACCTTCTCCAGTGCTGGCCCAACTATATAATGGCAGCAGTGCTGGAGGCCAAGGTCATCTTAAAAAGATGTTATGTGCAGGAAGAGGTGAGGGCAGGTGACAGAGTTGTTAAGATCACAGTGTTACTACAAGTTAAGCTCACAGTGACCTTCCAATTAATTTCTAGGAGCTCAGTGTCTTACATGAGTCTTTCTATCAGTGTTGGGATGCAATTAGACAAGGAGCAGTAGGGGAGGAGTGTAAGGGGGACAGACAGAAAGATTTACAAAGACTCGTAATCTGGTTGCATAAAGCTCCTTTCTTAGCAAAACAGTCTGTAAGGAAGACGTTGGAAGCAACAGAGCCAGCGGCCTGGGCAGGAAATGAAGCACAAGAAGATGAAAAAGAAGAAGAATGCATTGCTACTCCCTGTGAGTTGAGCATTCTGCAGGAAATGCAAGTCATTCAGTAAATGCAGGTGAGTCATTCAGTAAATGCAGGTAAGTCATTCATTTTAAGAAAAAGTGGAGATCTGCGTGACTTCAGAATGCTCTTGTACACCAGCAGTATCTGAATTGCGTGCATACTGTTTCCCAAAAGAATAAGTAGGTGAGGTTTCTCTACTCTGCTGTTGTGCCAAGAGTGACCCAGGTTAATCTGCCACTTGCACAAGACCCTTCACATGGGAATGTGCATCACTTTATAAAGGCAGGTCATCAGTTTTTGCCAGTGTAAAATAGGGGAAACAAGGCAGAAAAAGAAGATGAGCTCCCTGAGAGTACTCATCTCCCTGCTGGCTGTTGCAGTTTCCCATTTCAGATGGAAGGAGGTTTGAGGTTTCCAGCACTGAGCTCACAGATAGCAGTGGTTTAGGCAAACATCTGTGTTTAGCAAATATCTTTTCTCTTTCAGGGTTTCATGCCTGGCTCTTTGGGGAGTCACCCTGCTGTCCTCACACAAGTGATATGTTGCAGATCCCCCATCTCAAGGAGGTGCAATGGGCAGCTACAGTGAGGTATGGGGATTTGCTCTTACCTCTCTCTGCTGGCGGTGAAAGCTCAATAAAACTACGGCATTTCTCTTCTGAAACACAAAACCAGAGAAAGGCATTAGTTCACAAAACAATGCAGGGTACATAAGGGAAAAGAAAATCTCTTCCTCTCTCTCTTCAATGCATAGCTCCAGTCATCCCTGAGTCTACTCATCAGATCTTTTCACCTCTGCTCTCTTTCTTACCATCTTTCCAGATCTTCACTGGGGCAAGATAGAGGAAGGCAATGACTGCCTGGAAACTAGAAGTGTTTTTTCCAGATAAAAAAAAACGGCAATTTATAAACCTTATGAGGCTCTGTTGAATATAAAATTCTGTTGCTGCTTATTCACAACAGTACTGAGGGTCAGGCCTATTAAGTGTGCAGCTTATGACAGGCTGCAGACCCATCACTTCTGCTGAGGACTTGAATTCCCACTCACCCCAGTCTCAGCAGAGCAGTTCCAGCACTGCTTCCCAAAGAAGAAAACAAAACAAAGATTCTTCCTAAGTGAAACTCTGCCTGACAGGGATGTGAGTCCCTCTTCTGTGGCAGAGAATCACACAGAGATATGCATGGTCTTCTGTCCTCGCATTTTAGGCATGCTATTTGGACAAATGGTGTTCATATTTACTTTGGCTTTTTACATTGGCCAGATGCAAATGATTGTCCCAGCTGAGAGTCCAACATTATTATCTGTGTCTCTTACTGCCTACTGTATTATTGCATTTGAGGGTCCTCTTCTCTACTTGGCACAGTATTTTCTCCCAGAAGTATCCGGCTGCCGCTTTTCATTGTAAGAATCTCATTTTCTTAATTTCTATCCCCAGTTCTAATCTCTCCCAATCTCCTGTATTACTTCTGTCATCCACAGCTCTCAGGTCACTACCCAGTTTAGTGCCATCTGCAGTCCTCATTAACTTGCAGTTTGCTACTTCACCTAGAACTTTAATGAGGTTATTCACTAATGGATCATCTAGACTGATCCTGAGATTAGCCTGAATAATGAAATCCTTTCTCCAGCTCAACTCGAACTCCTTCTGCTCATAGCAGCCCCTTTTTTATTGTTATTGTCTGTGCACTTGCTTCAAAAACCCAGAGTGGCAGGTGGGTTGTACTTGATTTACAGGAAGCAGGGGATATAGACTATGTGCTCTACCCCATGCTCTGCTGCAATCCAGATGTAACACTGCATTCCTTCAGGCATCGGGGTTATTCCAGGACAGCCGGGTGGCCAGACAGTTCTTTCAGAGAAAGCTGTCAAGGGATGTAGTCCTGTTCCCACAAGCACCATGGAAACACACCCCAACCCAAACCAGTCCCAAATATACACATCTCCCTCCACATCATGTCTGGAAATGCTCATAAAGAAGCAGCCTTCTCATTACGACAGGAATTTCAAGCACATTCTCTCCTGCTCCCACCCCCCTTCTGTCTGCTTTTATCCACCAGTTCTTTATTTTCAAACTCTGACAGCAACAAGATAAGAACATAAGAAATGCTGTAGTAGAACGGTGGCTTAGTTAAAGGCGAGATGTCTGCTTGGAGACAGCTGGACAGAAGGCTGTGGCCTCAGGTGAATGGGCCTGACGAAAGTGACTTTCATCACCGCATCTTTAGATACAAGTCTCCCTGTTGGCCACCTTCTGGGTCAGTTCTGATCCTAGATGTGTGTGCTAGGTCATAAGGAGCATCCGTGCACTGCAGAGCATCCACCTGTGCTGGCATGGCACAGGTTTCATCAGAAGGATGTCTGCAGGGCTGGGCAGAAGCAAGCCAAGGGTGAAGGGAGGCACCAAAGTGGTATAGTACAGGTTGCATGATCAGCCCCTGGCACTCCAGGCCTTATAGTGCCAGTCCCACATGGTCAAAAATCATAAATGAAACCAGTCACAATATCACAAAAGCTGCTAACAAAATTACAATACTGCAGTTCTAACCCTCAGGTCAATTTGCCTCCTAACTTTAGTTTCTTTGTGTTCAGACCCTCCAGGTTTTCCAGGTTTTCCCTGTATCTATAAGGCAAACTTCTCTCTCAGCTTAGTCCCTGTTCAATTCACAAAACCTCTCAGTTTGGTGATTTAAGAACACCATCTACTGCAGCCCTCACAGTGATAACCATAAATTGTCAACACTAACCACTCCACTTAGATCTCTGAAGAGACATGCACAAATGTGCCCTGGGAATGTGTAGTAAGCTGTGTGTAGGAATGGAGATTCAGGGAAGGGGATAGGAGGCTCACTGCAGTTCACATCAGGTTGAATGACGCTATCACAAGGTCACTGCCACCACCATCACTTGCACTTCACAGCCCTATTCCAGACTGAAGAGCACACCAGAGACAACCATTCTCCCTTGCCCCCTCCCTAAACAGCCTAATGAAGGATGGAACTATAATGACCACAGCAGTGCACAGGGCTGATGTTAGCTAGGAAAATGAATAAGGCTTTTCTCCCACGTATTATCAACCTCCCACCTCTCATTTCCAAACTCCTGTGGAGTAAATACAAGGGAAGAAGTTGTGGCTATCTAGCCAAGACGCTACCTGGCCCTTCCATGCTCTCTTCACAGGAAAGCCACATCCCTGTGTGGAAGTATCGGAAGTCAAAGCGGTCATCCCCTGTCTCCCAGCTGTAGTGCACCACTTCCTGGGATGAAACATTGCCTGCACCTGCATCGGACGGCATGGGGACACCAATGCACTTGGTGGCCTTGCTCTTCCCACACAAAGGCTTGGGTACTTTTTGGGTCCCAGTGCACCAGTAGCTGCCAAGCAAGGCAGTGGTGGAGAGGCTGAGGGCAAGCAGGTTGAGGATGACAGCCAGGAAAGCACGGCGCCATGGCAATCCCTTCAGCAGCTCCATCTACAACACACAAACAGGAGGAACTGTCACACCATCCACGTATCCCATATAGCCTTACAAATCCAAGCTCTTCCCAGTGCGCACCTGCAGGGAGGGGATATGAGCACTCTGCTCTCCTCACAACATCCCAACAGCTCACTAAGCATGAAAGAACCATTTCCTGAAGGCCAGGGCAGTGGAGCAATAGGTTAGCTTCAGTCATTTAATCATTTCAAAGTACTCTAAATATCTGTGCAGGGGAAGAGAGGGTGACTCAGTGGACATTGCAGGGCTGAGAACATCGGGGTGTGTAAGCACATCAGCAAAATAAAAGGGAAGTCATGTTTGCTCCATCTCAGAGATGGTAGGGAAGAACTGTTAACTAACTTCCCAAAATACTGTATGTTGCCTTTAGATGAGGCATGATGAATGCTCTGTCCAGCTAAATGAGAATTCTTGCTGCTGGGTCTCCCAAAACACTTTTTCAAGCTGTTCACTACTATACCTAGGGAGGTAGGGAGTCTGTCAATTTCAGAGTGGGAAAAGGCAGGAAAATGTTCCCAGGTCACTGAAGATCATGTATCAAAGCAGTGACCTGCTCAGAAGGGTGACACAGCTATCCAGATCTGGCAGCTGGAGTTTAAGCCCTACAGCAGCACCTCCCACCTGAGCAAGCACTGCTCTGCACATCAGAAATTGGGGATGGTGGTGGGATGGCAATGTCTCTGCTCTCACAAAGTGCCAAAGGGCTTTTTTTGGAGAGCAAACGCTGCCATGAACACTCTTTCCAGTTCAATCTCATCAGAAAAAGTAATCCAGAAAGCAGTTTCTGTACCAGGGTCCTGTGGTCTTTCTAACTCAGAAGAAGCTTCAGGTTCCTGCAAAACCTTGCACTGACTTCTGAGAACCTCAACTTATCACTCCATGGATTGATTAGATGTCTCCTACCCACACAACTTTCATGTAATCAACGCCATGTCTCTTCCCACGTGGCACTCCCTATGTTTGGCACAACTTCATCCAGATACTCCCACCCTTTCCTATTTATGACTCTCAAAATCTATTTGCCCATGAATTGATTTGAGTTTGTACAGACACTGCCTGCTGCTGGTCCTCTTCAGATAACTTTGGTTGACTCACCTAGGGCTGAAAGGCCCAGCATGCTGTGGATAGTACTGTAAATAAACAATGTGAAACTGAGGTTTGCTTTGTTTGTGGGTGCACCACAGCTAAAAGTGGTGCAGTTAAAAGCATTTGTTCTGCAAACCAGCAAGCTTGGAAATGCGGTCACTAATGATGGTGCTGAAGTTTCTCTTGGAAAGCAGGACTGTCACTGCACTGAGGAAACAGTGCGTGATGCAGAACACCCTCATTGAAGAATGAGGGAAGAAAATACCCAGCTCCTGAAAAATTCCAATATGTTTTTATACTCTGGCTTCTTTTTTCTTTTCACTAGAGCATTTCTTTCAACAACGGTGATGCTGCACCCTGGAGATGGCAACATCTTAGTAATAGCATAACTAACAACTTCCGTGATCTGAAGGCATGTTGGATACCAAAGTTTTCACAAAGCAGGTAACTCCTAGGAACAGTTAATAATGTGAAGGTTTCTGGTGGCAAATTTCTCAGTGAAAGTTTTTTCAGTGCAAAATTTGGTTTATGACTGAAAAGGAAATTATAGATACAATTGTTCTCAAAACCATGATTTTTCATCTGAAAATAGTATCCTTCAGCACACATAGTTTTTCATTAATGCTCGCTTACAAGATTTTCTGTCGTCAGGTTTCAGTTTGCTTCTGCTTTTATGTTTTAAAAATATCTTTCCATTCATAATATTGACAAAAATATTATTTTTAATTTATACCTTCAATAGTGAGAAAAATATTACCTCCTGTTGCTTTGTGATAGTATTTGAAAAGCCATATAATTTCAGAACTGATAAGGAAAAGGCAAAAAACGATATGAAACAAATGAGTCAGAAGAAGGAACTGGATCAAGGATGAGAATGCACACAGAGAATGAGAAACAAATCTGAACTACTCCTCCATGAGTATATTGTCAGAAAAGTTCCCCTCCATGAAACTAAGCACTTACTGACAACAAGTGACCGCAGTATCTCGATAGATGAAAGAGAGTTGAATTTACCTTGGCAGCAAGTCCTCGAAGTCCTGTTAATTCGTAGGAGCAATACAGAAATGAGACTCACACTTTGTCTGCTGGTTTTCTTATCTCTAGATACTCCAGGAAAACCAATTGCTTCAAGACCCCTCTCTCCTTCATCTCCTCCCCTCTTCCCCCACATCCCCAGTGATTATTAAGTGCTTTCCTTCCATCCAGCAGCTGTTTTGTGGAAAATGGTCATTTTGTAATCCACAATGCAATCACAGCACAGCTGTTCTGGGAGATTATACAGGAAGTGATTGGTGATGTGCCCTGGGACTAAGTGCAGAACAGTGACCTGTATTGACTGAGCAGAAAGTTTTCATAAAACACAGAAAGATCCCAACCATCTCCATGTGGTGGCTGTTTGGGAGCTTGTATGGAGCGAGCTGAAGGCTTTCTGAGGGACCTTAGCTCAGAAACTACCAGTGTCAGGAGTGACCTTAGTATCATGTCACCCCTTGCCTTGTGCACTGTCTCAACAGAATGGCAAGAGGCCACAAGCCCGCCAGCCCTGGGATGTCTGCCTGTCCAGACCTGCCAGTTGTGGAAAGGGGAGAAGAAAAAGTAGTGGTGAGAGGGAAGTCTGCATCTTTGAGGACTGAGGATTTCAGACCCTTAAAAGATGCTAAGCCAGCTCTGCCTATGGGAGGATTTTATTGACAAAAGGATCCCCTCAGCAGAAACATTGCTGAGTGGCAGACCAGCATCACCACCATAACAGTGATGAGTCAAACAAGTCCCATATTCAAAGGATGGGAGCATAGGGAAGGCTGTCAGTGTCCCTCTTAGTGGCTGCTTTTACCAAGGTGTGAAGCTCACCAAGAATCCCAGCTCCCAGCAGTTTCACATCGTATGAATCTGGGAAGCTGGTAGGGAGAGACAGAAAGATTCACACTCACGCTAAGCCCCTCTAAGCTTTTGTCCTGAAAGTTTAAAGGCTCCTACAATACCTGAGGGGATTGGTACACCTTGTTTGGCATCAGAACAGTGAGAAGTAAGAATGGCATCACCTCTCGTGAGAATGAGCTGTCACTTAAAAGGGCATGAAGCAGTGCCACACTGAATCAAACTGCAAGGAGCATCCTGAAAGCATTCACCCCATCTTCCCTGCAAAGGCCTTGCCCAGTGTCAAGTGGGTGAGACCCCCACCACCACTGGGAAGGATTGAGGCAGATTTCCTGCGTGTTTGCCCTGCTGCTCTGACGGGACAGAGGAAACCAGTGCTCCATCTGCTTTCATCCCTGGTTCCAACACCAGAGCCCAGAGGCTGGGAGGCAGGCGTACGAATCTCCGTGGGTGACAGCCCCTGCACAGCAGAGGCAGCAGACAGAGCTGACAGGTTCACAGTCCCATATGTGGCCTGTGCTATCACAGGCTCCTGACCCTTCCTGCCCTGAGCAGAACAGTTGGTAGCGCTGAGGCTGCTTTAATCCTGGTCACTGCATAAACTCCTCTAATATAGATAATCATTTCTAAGACGGGCTAACTGAAAGCAATGCTAAATGTTTCCATGGGCCATGGACTGCCTGCAGGTTACCTGGTTAAGACAAAGGTTCTCTTTGACACGGGTGTGCTTAATTTACTGGAGAAAGTAGAATAAAGTTGACACTGTTTAAAAGGAGAGTGGTAACTTTTATTTTATTTTCATTATTCAGTTTATTTCATTATTAAATCTGGACACCTTAATTTTGGCTTCTAAATGCTCAGTAAAAAAAAAGCCTGTTTTTCAGGCTCAGTCCATCTCTCTACTGATAATCCTTAATGTTAATAGGTTCCTAATTTTAAGCTTGATAAAATTCTCATTAAAATCCAGGATGCTATGTCAGTTTCTAAAGCTGTGATCACAGCATAAATGTTGATGAAATGCAAATTAATTAGATTTATATGGACAAGAATTCAAGTTGAAAAATAAATTTATCAGAAATATGCTACAGTTTCCAAAATATGAATGTATGAGGTTTGGTATTCTGAATAATGGCAGATATTTATCCTTCCAGAAGATGGCAATCTTTCTCTAGTCTTTTTTGGGGGAGTCTGCTGCTCAAGCCTATTCTGGGGAGAAGTAACGCCCAACTTTAGACTTCTATTCTTTCCCCACCCGACACCCCCCCACCCCCCCCCCCACCCCCCCCCCCCTTCTATTTTTTCTTCTATCTTCCTCTTTTTTTTCCATTTTTATAAACACAGTTTCTTTACCTTGCCTGCAATATGGGGGCTGGGTCCTCCTCTTTGAGTTATCTGAGCGTGAGGAGACTTCATTGGTAAAAATCATTGGTGAAAAAGGAGGAATGAATGCAGGAGCTTAGCAGGGTATTTGTTCCACCGTCTGCCCTGCACAGAACTATTCTTTCTAATACATTTTCCAATATTTTGTCAAGTACCATATTAACTTTCTCAGTGTGTTTCCATCTCCAGGTTATTGCACGCAGCTTAGAGAGCATCAACTCCAGAGCACGTTTCCTGATGCTCAAAGAACTTCCCTCAGTGAAATTTTATGGTGGGATGGGTTTGATTTGGGTTTTGGTGGTGGTGCTGTTTTTAATCTCCTCTCCAGCCTTGCCTTAATCTGACCATTTATGGACCGGAAAACCAAGCTGTATCTGTCTTTCACCCTACTGTGCCTTCCAGTTTTCTCCTCTTTGTATCTGATATTTCTCACCATAACTTGGCTTGGCTAGAGGTTTTGGATGTCTTTCTCTTTGAACTCAGCAGCAGCCAGTCCCTGATGACTCATTTAAAGTTCGCCCATTGAAGTGAATGCCCATAGCAGTTGATTTCCAGCACAATCAGTCAAGTGCTTTGCTTATAGAAACAAAACAAGGAAACGAAATGTAGAGCACAATCTTAGAACAACACTT